GTTTGTTTTGTAACACTTACTATACACTTGTTACACTTATTTATTCAAAACATTTGAATAATGGTCGGCGGTTTAGATACTAAAATGACTCACACATTTAAATGGTTGTCACAGTTAAATTTATATACGATGTTTAAAAAATGGCAAAAAAAAACATTATTAAAAAAAATGTAACTCAGTTCTTTAACCTCTAGTGCTGCACATTTCAAGACTAAAGCTAACAGATTTACTTAAATACTCGTATTTAATAACAAAAAGTCCTCGAAAAAGTCTTTCCTTTTCGCATTTGACGCAAAATTCGAAAATGTCAACAACGTCTATGTATTTATATGTACAGAACGCAATTAAATTTTCTCGCCTCACTGCGACCATGTTATTTTTAGAAACAAATTTTTACATGAATTATTGGATCCACTTGGCAATTTATCAATCACAAGTGTAAAACAGAAATTACAAGTAGCACTTCCCTAGCAAGGTCAACAGGATAAAGATCCTATTGTTCAAAGATTTGAAAATATATCAAGAATTCCTGATTTTTATACATAGCAGGAAATTTGGTACACAGTTGATAATTTCGTCTAAAAGCAAAAAGTCAGATAGAAAGTTCATCTAAACTTCATAGGCATCATGAAGATAAAATTTTACCTCCATGGGAGACGCAACAAGCAATTGTCCAATCGAAGAAATTTAAGATTAGTTATCCATTTTGAGAGAAACGTTAGCGTTAATTAAAATTAATTTTGTAAATTGAAATTATATCATTCTTGTTTTTTCAACGAGGAACAAAATGACCGTTTGTAGTGGAATTGTTAACGCTAATTGACGAAACTGCAAATAATTACACATTACTCCAAGAATAATCGGTAGAATTAAGGACTTCACGATGAACACTGTGGGATAACAATTCTTTTATTATCCAACAAAACCTCTACGTAGGTATCATGAAACGCCAGCCGCAGTTCAGATTTTGTTGGTTTATCTTCAAATGTTGTCGTGTATTCCCTGCTGTTCGTGTAATGAAAACACTTTTCTACTAGGTGGTAACCACAATCCAATCACTTGTCCGATTGTCCGCATTATAACAACTTTGCTCGCATATTGTAGATGGGAACAGCAGGGTGCATTTGCATTATCTAACTTTATGTTTGCACTTTTTTTGATAAAATAAATAATCAGCATATCATTATCATTTTATCAGTGAACACGATTTTCTAACTGGTATTAAGTACAATATACATTACGTGGCATTTTCACCATAGAATTTTCTTTTGGAGTAAAGAGAATATACAGTTGACTCAATAATTTACGTTTATATACTACTATTACACAGTATTAAAGGTTCTTTTGTTTTCCGCAATTACCTTTTTGCTGTCCGAAATTTTCTTTTAAAAGATTAATTAATATTTTTGTTTTTTAATTACGTGTTACTTAAGTTTCTGTATAGTAATAAAGGTTGCTTAAAACTTTACAAACTGTATTGATAGTAACCTTTCTAAGAAGAAAATTCAATTCCAAGTACCGCGTAAAAACACATGTTTATCTCCTTAGTAAAATGCTTTCTCGAAATGGAAGGCTCAAATAAATATTTCCTCGGAAATGATAATAATTATTGCTGTAAGCCGAGTGTTAAAAGTACATAGACGAACAGCCCCATTTTTAAAACTCTTCTTTCCACAATTTCGTTTTTAAACTACTCTCCTTCACATCAGTAATTCAGATTTTTCTAATTTTAACACCGAATGGTAATTTGAATGATTATTCTGTTCAGAAATCTGTGTGTACTTTTCATATTTAATTAAATACACGATTTTGTTCACATTCACAAGAAAGAGTTTTTTCTTTGTCGCAGAAAAAAAGATCTTTTGACAAGGTTTAAGTTGAGTGACCGTTTTCAAGTTATCTGATTTTCATTTTCTCCAAAAATGTCTACTGTTGAACTTTTCAAAAGTATAGTCCACTAATGTATGACATACTCACTTGACATACACTTAGTACAACTTTTGACTTAAACGGCTTAAGCCAAACCACCCTTATAAGTTAAACCGGCTATTATAACCTTTATGGATCGGAACCGCAAGGATTATTACTGAGCTGTAAAGTTTTACTAGGTATATGTCAAGTGAGTTTAGTATATTTAATGTCATAACCTCATAACTCATAACATTCTGGGTCAAACATAGATTACAGGACCTGTTAATGGACCTCTAATGTGATTATTCGAAATGGTACGACTCTGAAATTTCGTGAATTTTGCCGCTTCGTTTGTGATAGCGGTGATAGCTGATGACTTCTCGTCAATTATCACAATCGCATAAAATTATCAACCATAACCTAATTTTCTTAAGTGTAGGAATGTGCTTCCAACAAAAAGGGGTCCTTTTAAAAATTTCTTGTAGGAAAGTCTGACACAATATTCTTGTTTATATGAAGTACTTTTAAATTGTTTGGTGAAATAAGGACGCGGCAAATTGTTATTAAAAAGACTAATAAATTTTTCAAGACCAACTTGATGTATGATCTTGTATAATTAGCCCGTTATAATCCACCTATAACTCAGCATAATGACTTTTTGTTGTAGACCATTAGGATTTGATGTGAGCCATTGTTTTCGTAGTAACGTATACCAAAGTGACCGAAACGGAAGCAGTCCTTGAAATCATCCCGAAATTATATCCGTAAAATTTCAAATTTATTTATATGATGATTTCACTGTTTAATAATAGCGTTCTTCCATTTGATGGTCATCATTTAGAAGATTTTTACGGTAGTCTTGCAGAGAATGGTAAATGTGTGATCATTTTTGTTTATCCGGGACTAAAATTCTGACAGACGAAGAAAGGACATGTACGTCAAATTTGCACATAAACAATTATTAATTAATAGGGCCTGGCTTTGAACTTCTCAGTTTCCGTTATTTTCAAATTCCTTAGCTCAGTTCTCGGCTTCAAATTCTCTTTGTGTTCAACTTTCCTCAAATATTTTATGGAATATTTTCATCAATAAAGAATTTGAAGAGTTAGCGAGCGAGACTCGCTGACGAATTAAAATTTAATTTACTTAATTTATATAAAAATGTTTTGATCTTGAGTTATTTTCTTTTTTTGGCTTTGTTACCAACCGACCATTGAGTCATTTTGATGAATGTTAATTGTCGGTTTCCCATTTCAGTTTGTCTTCTGTTGGCGATTTTGTTCATTATCTCTGAAACTTCTTAATTAAAGTTTGACATTTTTACTTTCAGTGCACTTTCAAAATGTCGTATGAATGGTAAAACGCTAGCCCTCTTTTGTCTGTTTATTTTCACTATCTTGTTGGGTATCTGTATTTCTATTGAAGTTTGGATTCCGATATGCTTGTTTTACTTTAATTTAATTGATTAGTAACACATCCATAGTTTTTGCCTCACCCATAAATTAAAATTTGTAAAATTTTGTACTTTATTTTAGGACGTGAGTAACGAACCTTTTTCAGATTTTGACAATACTAATACTTGAGTGATTACTGATTACTGATTAGTGATTACAGAGATTTGCTGACAAAATTTAATGACATCATTTTATTGTGTTTCTATTAAAATATAAATATGTAATTAATATGTCGACATACAACGTTGTTTGAGCCTTGATTGCATTTTTTTATTTTTTAGAATTGTTTGTACAGGTTTTGTAAAAAAAATGAATGAAAGACAGGTTCTGTAGACACAGTGCTGCTGATTTTACTACATGTTAGTCTTATTAGATTGTAATGATTGTATGTATATAAATTGATATATTTGTCGTCACTTCAAAATTGATAATGTCATAATGAAATTACTCCTTTGTCTGTAGTTTGATTAAATTTGCACTATATATACTTTTAAATTCACTCCTTACCATCATCATAGAAAATAAATATTCATAGAAACATCGCCCTGGAAAATATTAACATTCAACAATATTTTATGACTTTGTTCCAAATTGATGACAGTTCCTATATTAGTTATTATCACTAATATAGGAACTTTGTGGTTAAAATAGCCAACATTAATTTAAAAATCTGTACAATTACCTATATTGTTATTGAGAAACCTAAAAAAAAAAACTAGAATCATTGTATCACATGGAAACGAACTACCGTAAACATGTGTAAACAAGCTCTGTATATTCATTCATTCATGGCGTGTAAAACAAACTATTATTTATTTAGTATCTACATTTCCACGCTCACATCTGCAAAAATGTAAATTTTCAACCAGATGTTTCCATGGGTTCAACGCCAGCAGTGCTCATTTTACTAATTTTTATTAAGTAACAGTAAAACAGATTAATTTGCACGTAAATTGTGCGAAATTGTACTGTATTTGAGGTCAAAGTCACATTACTCACAATTTACCCAGCAAATTGTTGTCACTGCACGAGGTATTTTTCATAATATGTATAAATCTTAATCCATTGCAGTAGATTAATTACGTCATAATGTCAAAAGTTTAAATAAAATCCTACTATTTTGTTGTGATTTTTTAAAGTCTATTTTGCACGACACTATTGCGTTAAACTGAATTTATGACAATGCGCTAAAGTGTTAGACTGATAACAGGGTACACTGTTATTCATAGAGACCGGTTTACACCCTACTCATAACACTTTCTTGTGAAATAGTACCCATGAAACTACGACAAACACCCAACAAATGGTAATCAATGAAGTAAAATTGTAAGCGCTACGGTGTAGGTAGCCTTCGGCAAGTAACGACCCCCTCCCCCCCTTCTCCTGCGCCGCTGTCATTACCAAGTACTCAACTTAATCTCCTTTAAAGTAAATCCTTTTGTTATCTCTCCTCCCCCAACCACCACCAAAGCATTCAACACCTCATTTCCTCACCCAGCCGCCCAATTTTGCCCTAAAACAGAAAACCAGCGACAACGCCCTCTTTAAAATAATTCAAACACATTCAAACTTCAAAAACGTTACGGACTGTTGCCGCAGTGGGGGCAGCTATATATAGAGCAACCCGGCGTCCGCCATTTCACTTCAGGTTTTGTTGAGTAGAGAGCAACGTCAACAGCGTTCGTGTTTTCTATAATTGTTAGTTTGGTAATTTTTATAAAAGAAAAATGAGGGAAATCGTTCATATCCAAGCCGGCCAATGCGGTAACCAGATTGGAGCCAAAGTAAGTACATTTTTACTTTAAATACGTCGATCTAGCAAGCGACGCTTTGTTGCTATGCATCGCCATTTTGTTGTGACCACCCCAGCCGCCTCGTTCCCGATGAAAAATCACCATAGATCGCAAGCCGGGTGCATTTTCCGCGTTTTAAGGGCTTTTGTCGCGAAAAAACGCGTTCGATACCGGCCGGCGTGTATTGATCGAGTTGAAAACGTCGGGCGGCGTCCCGTAACGGACACCTTGGCGGAATTAACGGTTTTTCAAAACGACGCCAAGACGGGTGGACTGCAAGCCGTTAACGCCCTTGACTATCGGTGGTTCCAGCTGCTATGGGTGCAGCAAGGGTGTAATAATTTTAGGAAAAACTGTTTGAATTCAAATTTGAAAATGAAAATTCTTGGGTATTTTTAACCCGTGGGGAGCAGAGCGTGAAGTTCATCAACCTCTTTTTTGCCTCCGCTGCAACAATTCTTATTTGCATCCGATCGGTAAAAGTAGGTGCGGATGTCGGTGAAAGTAGTTCACCTGTTCTAGAATTTTGTGTTTTTCTCGCGATTGTGGGGGCGTTCGTACGGCATTTTTTTATTATTGATGGTTTATCGGGAGATTTTGACACACCTGCACACTTTTACGCCTCCACTTTTGCCAACCTCGGTGCTTACGTAATTTGGTGCAGTTAAGTTTCTAAATATAGAAGTGACCCCACTCGTAATCGCCTATTAACATAACGAGACACAGTTTGTGATTTTTTTGGCCTTGTATGGTGATACCTGTTCGATTTAGATGCGAGGTTTGCGGTCGAGTGGGCGCCTTTCTATCTTGCAGAGATCAGAATGCGATTATTATCGAATGTGTTCGTTGATTGCTGGGATTAGAAATCGTCCCCGAAATAGTTCATATCGAATGAGTTTCGGGAATATCACGCACTGGAAAATTTGTTACCAGAGAGTAGAAATTGTTTTTGAGCGATTTTGGGTTCCAAAGTTCCGAGCATTTTGATTCGCCGGGATCGGTTTTGGCGTAACGTGACGTCATGGACACGCCCTGTTGCATAGTCCTAGGTCCTTTTGCGCCTATTGTCCCTTGGTGTATTGCAGATGTTCGAGGTACAGATGTTTCAGGAGATTTTAATAAAAACTGAAGTTGTTTGTGACACAATAATCAGATAATTCGATGATTTGTAGCAGCGATAATCGAGTTTGAGGAAATTAAATAATACATACATACTTAAGTTGTTTAAGTACTATGAATTTGCAGTCAGTCAGTTGCATTTATTTTTGTACGATTACCTAATGCTGCGATTATGGTTATTTATCATTTTCAAGGAAATCATTTGGCGAAACGGTGTAATCTATAAATTCTATTAGTGTTTTTTTTAACGTCCAATATTTTAGATATTCAGCTAGATCAGGTTTATGATGGACTTTGAACAACAGATGGCGTTTAATTTATGCAAATTAAGGTGGACATTTTATTAAATAAATAGATGTTTCGGAATTTTGTTGAAAAATCCGATTTTCATTTTTTAGAATTCATAAATTGTGGCGCCACTAATTTCTGAGAATCCTACATAGAATATTCAGTGTAATTAATTTTCACACCTTTTTTATATATTTTAATTTGATTAATTGAATCTCGGCCAATGACTCTTCAATTAAATTTGTTCTCATGTGAAGGCAAATAATTTTGCGAATTAATTTGACAAACAACTATAAAAATAACTTTGCCTGTAGGCTGTGGAATCTAAGTTATTAGAATATTAATTGATTTATACCAAGGTAATTTATTGATTTTGACTTCTCACAATATGGGCGGTGCACTAACACATCGGGTGTACCGGATGCCAACAAATACAATTCTATTTACCATAACATTTTTTTTTATCATTTTTTAATGATTGTGATGAACTGTCGTGACAAAAATTATTTTGAAATAATTTAATTTTCTCTTTTTATTTTATACATAAAATAAATTAACATCCGGTCTAACTATGAGTAAGACCATCGGATATGTCAGCGTGGATTATATTTATTATAGGCGGAAGCTTTTTTTTATACTTCATGTAAGGCTTACCAAACATAGTTGCTGGACTATATATTTTTACTGACTTTTTTTGTTTTTGGATAACATTGTTTTTAATTTTGAGCATATACATAGTTGTTCAAAATTAGTTTCATCAAATTTGTAATACGTTTTCTGCAAAGAGCCAAACTACCAGGTTAAACAGAAACTTAAATGTGCGGTTTCAATCGATTTAATTTGATTGGCTTCAACACTCGTGTGGCTTCTTTTATCACACCCTAATTGTATAGGTACAGTATTTCCGTTCATTCCTCAATTTTGCATTAGGTTAATAGTAAGCATTGCAAAACTCGTTAAATCGAAAACAGTTATATTGCAGAATAGAAAAGAGTCATTTATTAAAAATTCTTTACGTTCATCATATTTAAAATTTGGTTTAGAATACAAAGCTTATTATCAAATTTATCCGCTTCTTTTTAATTTGAATTTGTATTTAAAAAAGAAAAGGAAAATTAAAAGCATGCTTATTAGGAAATTAATTCGAAATGATGTTAATAAGACTGTTTTCAGTTGAATGGACTGATTAGAAAATTATATTTAAGTGACATTAACAACATAATGGCTCTATAAAATTCATAGTGTACTTAAAATTAATTTAATTCTTCTTAGTTAAGTAAAACAAATAGCAATTCATTCCAGAAACATAACGTGACTTTCATAAAGATTTAAAATAAGTATAAAACAAATTGATACTTTGTGATATGCAAAATGACTGTCTAAACCTCATTTGTTTTTATAAACTGATGATTTTATTTAATATACGTGACCTATATAACTCTGATCTACGCTATGTTGAACCTTGAGGGCCTTTAATTGCCCTCGAATATGATTGTTACCCATATTTAGCAGAATTAAGCCGGTTGTGATAGTAACTTTCTCACCAGCCTAGAGAACTTCTTGATTTTTAAGTAATTGTGATTTTAAGTTGACATTCAGCATCATGTCTGCATGTGTGTTTATTTTAAAACGTGCAATATCAATTTTTTTAACAAGAAGTTCTATTTTTGAACGTTTTTTATTGTTTACGAAAAGTGTTCTAAATTTGTATTTTTCTGGCAAGCGAGTGATAGTGGTGTATCAAGACGAACAAAATACAGTAGATCTTGAATATAGCGCACTGTTCATGTCACACTCATGTTATAAATAAATTTAGTTGAAAAGCATTTAGTTTTGATTTTACTTAACTATACTTGGCGTTTTTTAATATAACATAACAAAGAAATACGTCATTAAGTTGAGTAATGGCAAAAAAATGTTGTAAATGGTTTCAATATAAAGCAGATACAAGCGACCACTCACAAAGTATGCAGAAACCTGCTGCATATAGTAAATTCAATCGATAAAACGTAATATCCTGCATTCTATTCGTTTCATATCCATAATTCATCAATCTCTTATTGTTCGAACTTTTTAGTTTATATATAGCTAACATCCTCGTCCATATTAGCACATCCTTCCATGTATAATAATTGCAGTGCGAATTACTCATGAGCAGTGTACCGGACATCCGTTCTTGGGTTCATAAATTTTTCATTCTTTTTCAAACTCTGTATTTTTTTTTTTCACAAAATAAAATTATCTCACTTCATTCATTGCCAGTCTGTTCACAACCCAATGAATGTAACTTTTAATTGAAAACATCTCACCAGTTAATTTCGTGTTGAACCATGCGATGCTGATAGTAATTCAAGTTTAAATACAAATCATTCAAAACAATGTTCTTAATTAAAAAAATTATCACTCTATAAATCTTAGCTATGCGGGGTCACTTGAAAATAAAAATGAACTCGTTCAAGATAACTACAATTGGTTTGTTTTTCACGTGAAAAGCAATACTCGACTTTGATCATTGTTCTCAAGGTTGTTTTCCATTCGACGAACTATCGATTTTCATATTACTTTATTGCCATTAACATGCATTACCCTATTCCGTGAATTTCTGCTGAAGAGTGTTTTTCAGTTCCTGTTTGTAGTTTAGAATTTTATGGTTTGTGTTGCTCTAATCGATTTCCAAATGAATTCTCAGAAATAGACTAGCCAGTAAGGTGTTTGATTATTTTTCTTTTTCAAAGTTTGGGAAAATTAAATGTGAAAAACTCAACGCCAGGGGAAATTGAGAATACTAGTGATTCTTCTAAAGTAACTTAGAATAGTTATTTTTGAAAAAATGTATCTACATCGTTACTTGCTTAAATTATTTATATGGTTTTTGCAAAAATAAATAGGTCAACTTGGTTTAACTTCTTGGAATATTACGCTTTTTTAATAATTAAATCATTGACCAAACAATTTCAAGCGGACCACAACATTTTTGATTTTAAAACGATGTTATTAACTGTGCAAAAACCCGCAAAGTTCGGTGGACGGCGGCTGGTGTCACTTTGCTTAAAATTTTCTCTTAGGTTTTGACTTGATCTGATGGTTTTACTTTTTTTTTTTTTCTAGTTCTGGGAAATCATCTCAGACGAGCACGGCATCGACCCCACCGGAGCCTACCACGGCGACTCAGACCTCCAGCTCGAGCGCATCAACGTGTACTACAATGAGGCATCAGGCGGCAAATACGTACCCCGTGCCATCTTGGTGGACTTGGAGCCCGGCACCATGGACTCTGTCCGCTCGGGCCCCTTCGGTCAGATCTTCCGCCCCGACAACTTCGTGTTCGGCCAGTCCGGAGCCGGCAACAACTGGGCCAAGGGCCACTACACAGAGGGTGCCGAATTAGTAGACTCAGTTCTCGACGTGGTGCGAAAAGAGGCAGAGTCCTGCGATTGCCTGCAGGGGTTCCAGCTGACACACTCGCTCGGGGGCGGCACCGGCTCCGGCATGGGCACCCTCCTCATCTCCAAGATCAGAGAAGAGTACCCAGACAGGATAATGAATACATACTCAGTCGTCCCCTCGCCGAAAGTATCGGACACCGTCGTGGAACCGTACAACGCGACCCTGTCGGTGCACCAGCTCGTAGAAAACACGGATGAGACATACTGCATCGACAACGAGGCTCTCTACGACATCTGCTTCAGGACGCTGAAGCTCACCACCCCCACGTACGGCGACTTGAACCACCTGGTGTCCCTGACCATGTCGGGGGTGACGACGTGCCTGCGCTTCCCTGGACAGCTGAACGCCGATTTGAGGAAGCTCGCCGTGAACATGGTGCCCTTCCCCAGGTTGCACTTCTTCATGCCCGGATTCGCACCTCTTACGTCACGTGGTAGCCAACAATACAGAGCTCTCACCGTCCCCGAACTCACCCAGCAGATGTTCGACGCCAAGAACATGATGGCCGCTTGCGACCCCAGACACGGCCGGTACCTCACGGTGGCCGCCGTCTTCAGAGGCAGGATGTCAATGAAGGAAGTGGACGAACAGATGCTCAACATCCAGAACAAGAACAGCAGCTACTTCGTGGAATGGATCCCCAACAACGTGAAGACTGCCGTGTGCGACATTCCTCCTAGGGGCTTGAAAATGTCTGCCACCTTCATCGGTAATTCCACTGCCATCCAGGAGCTCTTTAAGAGGATTTCCGAGCAGTTCACCGCTATGTTCAGACGTAAGGCTTTCTTGCATTGGTACACCGGAGAGGGTATGGACGAAATGGAGTTCACCGAGGCCGAGTCCAACATGAACGATCTCGTCTCCGAATACCAGCAGTACCAGGAAGCCACAGCCGACGAAGATGCCGAATTTGACGAAGAACAAGAAGCCGAAGTCGACGAGAACTAAGTTTCAATAATGCGCGCTTTACGAGCTTTTTTCAATAATCTTTTTTTAAATTTTTTCCCTTGTATGTCTCTTTTTGTACATTCCCGTTAATAATCGAATACATTACTTAACTTATTCAAGACTGACTTTTTGTTGCTTTTTGATCCGTTGTTCATGTTTTTTGCATCTTTTGTTTCAAAGAATAGGCATTAAAACGACGCTGCCATTACTTACACTTGATGGATTTTATTCACCTTGAATCCTCTCCTATTCAGAAATTTTAAGCATGACATTGCACAAGCGTCAATTCCTCCAGGCAAAAAAATAATGGTAGCACCCTTGTGAATAATGCAAGCGACGCGGTATCCATTATCGATGTTTCGTGAGTCACCTCTGACTCATCCTCAGACCGGAAGTATTGATCAGTTCGTTCTTGACCGGGAGCAACCCTGCTTTTATTAAACGTCTGGCAGTTTTATAGGGGTGGTATTTTTGGGGTCGTTAATCAGATAAAAGCTAATATATGCCAGATTGCGGATGGATAAGACAAGAGAATTAAGGAAAGACGTCATCCGAAGATTAATGGCGTCTTTTATTAAAGATTACATCAGAGGAGATACAACATAACTGTTTTTGGAACCGAATAAAAATAGATGCGTTGTAATAGCCTTAACAAGTTTCTATCGTGCGAGATGTGGAGAGCGTTACCGTATGGTGAGTGATGGCCAGGAACATTTGGTGGAAAAATCATCTGTCCGATCGGCCACCGACCTCAGTTAAGTCAATGTAGCTACACCTATTTTTATCGATAGTTAATGTACATACCTGCTGACGCCTGGGCAAGGTGTCGGGCGTGCAAATTATTCATTTTTCTGAGAGGCGGTTTTCATTGTTGATAAGTGGAAAGGTCAAGGGTAGGTTTGGTTTTTTTTTCAAGTGAAAGATCGTTTGGATGAAATTGCTTTTCTGATTTATTGGGAATGTATGTTTTTATGTGCGCCAGGTGGGTTGCCGAGGAGAGTCTTGGTTCTGTTGCTTTTCACTCACCTTTTTACGGTATTCTGCGTTAACACACTTTTATAGATAAACAAATATTTGTTAAATTATCTTCGCTGACTTTATTATATTTATTTTGTTGTTTTATCGTTCGGCTGATTACAGACTAAAGTTAGTTAGAAATAAAATCAATAAAATTAACTTACGTAGGTACAGTGTCGTAACCATTTAAGCTACGAATCTAGGAATTAAGGTTTTACTAACTTTCTTTTGAAATAACAAAAAAAAAAAAACGTAAAACGTCGGCCGTAAATAATGAAGGCAGTAAATTATCTGAATAAACACAACACAGGTATGATGTCTAGCTAGACATTGCTTTTTATCTCCTTTTCGAAACATGAGTTTCCCTAAAAGACTACATAGTTATTTTACTCGAGTTATATAGTAAGTGTTTTACCGTGGAGCGGCAAATGCATACAAGTATATTTAAAGAAACCTGCTTTGTTAATATGTATATAAATTTAAAAAAAAAAAACACATTCAAAATGACCTATGTGGTTAGACTCCCTGTCTTATAATATAAGGAAACAGATGTTATAGTACTCGTACTTACCTATAGCAAAATCTGCTCGTAGAACAATAGAATAATAAAACCACAATAAAAAAATTCAAACCTCTCTTATCGTATTTCTCAAAATATCGTCTGCAATTTTATACTTGACTCGAAAAAAAAATAGTCAATGAAAGTCCCTATTTTAAAATTTCTGTAACATCTATGATATAACGACAGGAATTATGTTTATTAAAGCTCTTGTTTCCTCCTGCATTTGACACGTAGTGCAACTTTACTACTCGACAGAAAAAACTATGCTCTTGAAATAAAATTGTCTTACAAAAATTACTCAGTTATAAACAGCTGCTATAAATTTTAAACAGGAAGTTTAAATTTTAAATTATTGTTGTCACTTATTCGTTAGGTACTTTAAATTTAACGAACTGAATTAAGGCTGTCTCACTACTCCAGCCCCAAAATAATAATAAGAAAAAAAATGGAATCATATAGATAAACAAAATATTGCAGTTTATCGTAAAAAATATAATATTACAAAATTCAGAAAGTAGGCGTTTTGAAAATTCTAAAAATTGTTAAACGAGACTCACAAAACTTAACCATGACTAATTTTTAAAACCATACTTCACTGCATTCATACTGGCGCAATTTCAGCGTAACTTTCTGCATACATTACCTAAAAGCAACGCAATTACGTATTCCCGACACGCAAACTTCAGCTGAAATTCATGAATACATAGCTGTCTGGCGCCACCCCAAAGCTACTTTATCGACGGTCCTGCAATAAAATGTATGCTTTTTTTTTTCTCTTGTCTTGGCGTCGGCTCCGGACGTCAATACCCAACAGCAGTAGCAAAACAAATCACGCTATTCCTGTTCTGTCTTCAGTAAAGCTCTTGTTCTTGCAGTATCCAACCATAACCGAGATCAAAGAAATGGAAAGTTTTACGAGGGTTGCCTTGATTTATGAGTAATAATGGGTTTTTGCTTATACACGCATTCGATTAAACTTCTGAGTACAGTCGATTCTTTATGGTCCATGGGAGTAGTCGTAAAGTGGTTATGCTGAAGCAGGAACTGCAGGAACGAGTGTCGGCATGATGAGCTGCTATTATTAGCGAGGAAGTGCTTTTAATAGTTTTTAATGCCGGTTCGAGTGAAGCAATATTGCAGAGAAGAAGGTTTAATTTTGGACTATGCAGCTGCTGTAGTATATGATAAAATTTTTTGTTTTCAGAGGACTGATAATTTTGACTTTTTTAATTTCTATCTAGAGGTCTACATAAATGAGCCTAACATGGCCCTATGTTCTCTAGAATGCAGTTTAAACTTTGAAAATTCGCGGAATTATTCAAAAAAATTAAGAAATAACAAAGCTGCTTTCCAAAGGTTGAAAGTGGAAACGCATGATCACATTCTAAGAAGAATAATAATCTACGATACAACTGTGCGTGTGACCCACTATTGCAGATAGTTTGAAGAAATTTGCAAAACTAACAAAAATTCAGTGTTGTAGTGATAAGATTGTTTGATTTTAAAATGACCGATAAGTGAAATGTGTGCCAAAACAAAAGGAGTGACGGTATCTGTAAAGAATCTTAGATGCCCCTGATGTTTTGGGAGAATTTGAAACACTCTTGGGGACCTTTGTATTTTGTTTTTGAAAAAAAATTAAAGAATCTTGGGGACCCCTTGTGTTTTATAGTGGGACAAATTCGAAAGAATCTCGAGGATTCCTCGTGTTTTATTTTTGAAAGAATTTGATAGAATTTTGGGTAATTTTGGGATTTGAAAAGAGTATGTTAGTTTTCAAAAAGTTTAGAAGAATTTCGGAAGAAAACAGGCACTAATAACGACAAAAAGTAGGTATGTACTGCACCGTTTCCAATTTTGAAAATCGGCCACTGCGTACGGCACTCAGTTGTTTCGGCGGCGGGTCGCAGGTTCTCTCGAAATTTAACCTCTTTGCAGTCGATTTTATTGAAAGGATGTAAGGGGGAGACTGATTAGTGGGCGCCAGGTAGTTAGTAAATAAAATGTTTTATGAAACTAGCAACTACCAATTTAGTTTCAAACTATTGAAAAAAAAATACATAAGAAAAGGACAACCGATTTATCAAATTAGAAAGAAAAAAAAAGAGAGATTAAAATATTCACACTACTTATTTCGACACAATTAAAGGCCGCGCTTACGTAAGCTTGGTTTACAACGAATTAATTATAACTAAGAATACTTCTTTAGAATAGTGCCTGAAGGGCGATGGAACTATATTTGACGTGTATAAGGAATTCACGTTCGGTAGATGTAACTAGATTTGGTAACTTTTTTTTTTAAGCTGTGTAAGATCGGACATAATTGTTCTAGTGTATAATGTATTACTGGAATGTCAGAAAGTAGGTATCAAAAATGTGACATGTAAGTAAGTAAAGGTCAAATATCGAAAATGTGATGGTTTTGTGGTAATCTGGTGAATCTATTTTTGAACGAAGGAGAAAATCGCATCCCTCTAAAAGCCCAAAGAGCAACCCGCATGTAAAATTTTGAATCTTTTCCCTTCACTAGTTTTTTTAGGAGGACAAGCTTTGATGTCATCATCATGGATCCACAATTTCACCATGGATCCGTTCTGGTATATCCATGTCTCATCCAAGAAAATGAAAAGTAAATCTTCACCACAATCACGCAATTGGAGATAGGTACCGCCTTAGAAATTTGATTCTGGCAGCTATAACGTGTTTAAAATGTGAAAAACTTCGCCTTCGGAAACCTAAATTTATACGTGTATTACGTACAATTATTCTCAAAGCCGAGTGTTTTCCCTTTTACAAAACAATAACGATCATATAAAACTTAAAAACCAATTGTAGAACGGAACCAACAAAGTATATAAATCTGCGCAGTCGTCTTTCTGATTCTGATTATAATATTAACGGCACCAGCGCCGTTGTATCTGTATTATTTTAAAATTCGAAAAACACTCGACAACACCAGCGAACTTTACGGAGAATATTTCTGCCACCAGTTTAACTGTTTCCGTTTTACCCAATTTTTTGATAACCACGAAATATTTCTTGTTTCTTTTCCTTTAAAATGGACTTTCTCGTGACTACTTTTATGGAAATTGTTTCCATGCTGTATTTAAGGATTTTCTTGAAACGAAGCGTGTGGAAATTAGAAAAACTTCGGTTTTTTTTCCACACAATTCAGATTTGACATTTGAATTAGAAAATTGGACAGTTGATGCCAATCTTTAATTTCTAGTGATCTTAAGATTGCAACTTAACCACAGAAAAATTTCTGTCAGTTACTTCTACCGAACGTGAATGCTTATTAGGGCGCAAATTCATAGATTGGAAAAATCTGACCTTGGGCGTTTCCAGAGATAGTGATGTTCCGATTAGCGGTAAATTATTTCTGGCGTACCGGCGAAAATGTTCCAGGCCGTCCTCAAATTCGAGAGCTTCAAAAAAGTCAAACGAGAAGCCGTGCCGCCTTCAAGATGGCGTCGTCAAAAAATCTTGGCTTGGTTCGACGTCGCACACGGTACCAGACAAGAAAAGGAAAAACCCTCA